TTAAGGGGCAGAATCATCGAATGACTTCGAGTGTCAAACTCTTACTGACTAAAAACCATACCGTTCCTACTCCGAGCCGGAGCCCCGGTAACCCGTTAACTTCTCTGCGGCTCCCGAATCGGCATCAGCCCTATCGGGCCCCATCCGTGGTGGTCTGATGGGTTTTTGAGACGCGCGCGGAACGCTCGGGTCTGGTTCTGGTTGGGCGGCGAGCCACCCATGCTTGCGCTTAGCCGCATGACACCTCCGCAAAAAGAGGAGACGGCATCTCAGTCCCCCTCCCTCCGCATCATGATCCGCGCTAGGACCGGACGCGAGAGGTCGCCATCGCCGATCACGTCCTTGAGGGCAAAGAGGTGTTCAGTCCACGCAGGGCATTCCCCCACTGTGTGTTTCACCGTGTCCTCAGGGCGGTCCTCGCCCTCGCAGTGATGACATCCGGGCGTTTCCTCCCGCCCCATTAGACACAGGTACCTCCCGAAACTTCCATGTCCGGTGAGGACCTGTGTCACGCGGTAGGTGAGGACGTCGTAGCGTTTCTCAAGCCACTCCTCAAAGAGGGGACTTACTGCTGCAATGGCAGCGAGCCCAGCCCTCGGTTACGACAGTCGTTGCTGCCATTCCGCCATGAGATCGCGCTGGAGCTCTCCCCGTCACGAACTTATCTGGCGCGGCAGCAGAGTTTCGCCCCGGCGACGTGTCTCCGCGCACATGCGATACATGCACGCGAGCACCTTCGCCTCCAGATCCCACGGCGGTAATCCGGCAAGGAGGTTCGCCGCCTCCCCGGAGGCCGTGTGGTATCCGCGGATCATTCGGGTCGCCAGGACCGTCTGTGACATGAGCAGCGCGCGAGCGGGCCGCCGCATTAGGTTCGGCGCCCATACAGGGGCGCTATAGAGGGCCGTGGACCGCACGAACCTACGACAAATTTTTGCATTCCACCTTGTAGTCCACATATCCCACTTTTTCCAATATTTTCCTTATTTCTTGCTCTGGGTCCTGAAATTAGATATATAGTTATTTATGGTTTAATTAATAGGGAAAGGCCAAATAATCTATTTCATTTTTCTCGAATAAAACACTGGACCTAAAGGAATAGGTAAACATGTTATTTAAAACGTCAATATTCACTAATAGGTTAGAAGCACCGACTTCTAACCTATCAGTGGGTGTGTAAGCTATAAGTACGGATGATCAATAGTAATTATTTTTTCTTTTTAATTTTTATTGTTCGTTTGTTTATAGATTTGAAGTCGGTTTTTTTAAACGATGTTTTTTATTTTTATTTTATACTATTTAGTTTAGTACTAGAATATATTACATTATGTACAACCCACATCGGTGCAAAGTTTTCATCAATACAAATTATTCAAGCTCAAACACCAGGTAGCTACTGTTAACTGTTGTTTTCTTAGCTATCATACTACTTCATCATTGGACATTTTGTGACAACCACATTACACATATAAAGTCCTCATCAATACAAATTAATCAAACCCAAACACAAGATAGCTACTGGTAACCGCTGAGGAGTTCCCTCTATTATGGTACTACTTCATCGTCAGACCCTTATTAGCCATCACTTACCGCCTAGGTATAAAGTCCTTATCAATACAAATTAATTTTACCCAAACACAATGTAGCTAATCGTTGAGGACTTCCCTCGACTGCCTCTCGGCTCCATGATCAGATCAACTCCAGACCTTTATCAGATTTTAGTGCTTTTAAATACTTAACGAAAAAATTAACAAATGCACTAGTCGCCCCTATAATTTTTAAAAGTTCCCCTCGGTTTCCCTGGGATTCCATCATCAGATCCTGCCTTGATGACAACCCTACCCTTTCAAACAAAAAAACGAATTTTTGAAATCGGTCCAGGTGTCGTCGAGTAATCGAGTAACAAACATAAAACCCCTTCCTTTTTTTGAAGTCGGTTGAAAAGGTATGCACTTTAATCACATTACATCTAGATAAGGAATAATTCTTGATATTATTTAGAAATATCAAACAGAGTATAACCGTAATACCTAATTAAAATCATGTACAGCAAAATATTTTAAAATATGTTAGTATCTAAGGTCAAACAATTAAAATGTCTAAATTTATTAAATGTCAATATGAAAAATAAATTTTGAATAAAATTAGGTAGGTATCTAAATTCAAAAAATGACCATTCAAGTTAAATGTCAAAAAATCATGCGATAACAATACAATATAAATAGACAACATAAACTAAATAGTAATATTGCAGGTTGCAGGTCAATAATTTATTAATAATTAGACTGCCTCGTTGGCCGAGTGGTCGCAAGTGCGACTGCCGGGCAAGGGGTCTCGGGTTCGATTCCAGTGTCGGGCAAAGAATTATTGGGTTTAAAAAAAAAATCAGTAGTAGCACGGAGTCTGGAATTGTGGCCGGTATATGGCAATAGGCTCACCCCCTATTAAATGGGACTCATAACATAAATATTGAAAAGTGGGTGTTACATTGTACAGTGGCATAATGTTCAAGTCTGCCTACCCCTTCGGGGATAAAAGGCGTGATGTTATGTTATGTAATTTATTAATAATTCAGTCAGCAAAATAATTATGTGTCTCAAGAAAGTCATAATACAAAATATTTAAAAAATACCGGTATTGCTGGTCAATTATTGTGGTCATTTAAAAATTCCGATAAGCTATAAAAACATTTGGCTATAACATTTTTAAATCTATTTTAAACAGAGCAGTGGACAATTGCTGAGTAGGTTTCGGAATTTTATTATATATTATTGGCGCCAAACAAAAAATACTATTTCGCGTTAACGCCGTCATTGATCTAGGTACGCACGATCTATTGTTATCCCGTCGATTACGGATACAGATGTCTGTTATCTTCTCTTTAAAGTTGACATTGCTTTTTACAAAAATAGCTACCTCATAAATGAACAAGGAAGGGAGACTTATTATATTTAATGAAATATTACTATCAGTCCTTTTTAGGCCGAACATAGCTCTGATACATCTTTTTTGAGCCTTGAAGATAGTTTCTTTGTTAGTGGAATTTCCCCAGAATATTACTCCGAATCCGAACAGTGAGACGCGATATTTCGTTACCAATGGTAAGATATTTACGTAGATTATAAACAACAGTGGACCCAAGTCGCTCTCCTGTGGAACTCCGGATTTAACTACACGTCTTTTAGATGCATGTGTTGTCTCTTTTTTGATATTGATGTTAATTTTAGTTATTTCTGTATATTGTTTGCGGTTTTTTAGGTAAAACTCTATTAGATTTCGTACATTTCCTCTCATTCCATGAGCTTCCAGTTTACGGAGGAGAATGTCGTGATCAACGTACTCGAACGCTTGGGTCATATCACAAAATATGGAGTAGACTGGCACTCTTTTATCCACTACCCATGACAATGTTTAAGAAATCAAAGATAGCCACGTTTATTGTTTTATTTTGACGGAAGCGTTTCTGGTATTCTGTTAGAATTCTCCATATAGTTATATATTGGACTATGTATGTACTTTTCATTATTTTTTGAAATTACAGGAATAAGTGTGTAGCAGGTCATACTATGTCTATCACCTTTTTGAACATAGGTTTTATAATCGTCGTTTTTAGACTTTCTGGGTATGTTCCAGTGGTTATACACATGTTAAAAATATGACTCAGGTGATCACAGATATCATAAGCAACCAATTTAAGGATTCTAGTGGAGATTCCATCATAACCAACACTACAAGTATTCTTAAGCAATGGTATGATTTGAAGTATGTCGTATGGAGTACTTGGTGCCATGAATAAAGAATGGTTTGATTTAGAAATATCTACGGTTACGTTCCTGCTAGCATTCGGTATTGGTTTAATTTTGTCTATAAAGAAATTGTTAAAAGCATTAAACATTTCTCGGGGTTCAGTTCGATTTGTAACTATAGATGTTATACAATTCTTTGGTAAATTCATTTTAGATCGATTTATAATCGCCTACGTAGCTTTAGATTTATTAGTAGGTAATTTTATTATATGGTTATTTTGTGCTCGTTGTATAAAATTAATTATATTCTTAAACATTTTAGAGTATGTTTTAAATTTAATATTATTTGTTTCAATCCGGTTTAACCTCAAATCCCACAATAATTCTCTCTTTTTTCTGCTACAGGTTCTTAAGCCACGTGATACCGACAAAGGTTTTACTTTAGTTCTTATTGCAACATAATTGAAAGAGAAACACAGATTATACAACATCATAAAAACTCATCATACGCAGTACCTGGATTATTTGTATTTTATTATTTAGCTTATTATTATATTTAGTTTTATTTTTTTCATATTAGCTTCATTATAATCTCTTCTAAGTGTTTTCCAATAGTTAATAAAATATTTTTTATTGATGTATAGATATATTATTATTTAATACTAGCGATTAATCTGATAGGCCGAAGTTAAATACATCAGATTTACACTTTCTTCCAGCATTATGTGCAAGATTATCTATGTAAGTGCCACTCGCAAGTCGATTGGCTGATTTATTTCAAAATACAAAATAAAACTTAAAAGGAAACATTCCAGGTCTATTAAGGTACTATTTCGTTTGAGACGGTATAAATACCGGTATAATGTATTATATTAAAGTCACCTGCAATTACGACATTTCTTCTCAAATTATTGTTACAGATTTTTGAAAATACTTTTTCTAGTTGCTTAAAAAACATAGTTAGTTATCCGACTGAGGTACTCTATATCTATACATAAACGACAATATAGTATTATACATTTTTAAATTTTAAGTTTTAAGTTAAATCAATGGCGCAACATTCGAACACTCAGTTTATGGACAGTTTGGCAATATCATGAAGTTCTCTAAGGTGATGATCTTTTTTTGCCAAAATACTTTGGTGTACAATTGATACTAATTAAAAAAGTGACATTAGTATAGTTACCTGTGAGTCTTGGTATGGCGATATATATTTCTCGGCGTCTTTGAGCAGAGTGCTCCATTTGTTGTTACGCGATTGAGCGCGGTACAAGTCGTACACGGGTGCGTTTGCGATGAATATCGTGAAGCATTCTCCATCTTTACTCAGCAAATCGTAAATATTTCTGAATACGCGCCTGAAACAGTAAAAATGTAATGTTAATCGCATGAATAACTTCTGAGACTTGATTGGCAATTCAGTATAGAGGTTGATGGGGCATGAAATGGTTACAGTTGTGACTGATCTCAAGATCAATAAGGGATCTCAGGTTTAATCACACAAAACAAGGAATATATTTTTCATTTTCCAAAGGTATTAAATTCTAACCTATCTAATACGTATTAGGTACATATGACTTAATACAACTTTCAAAATTTGGACTTCAATATAAATGTGATTTTATACCTTTGCCCAACCTTTCGAGGAATAAGAGGCAGTTTTAGACTTAATTAGAAATGTGAAGTTGCATACATATTTAACAATTTGGCGTAGAGGCCAGTACCCTAAGCCAAGCGGTTAAATGTGTGTATGTCCAGAATTGGAGGTATGCGCGTTACAGGCTATCTTATTAAATCTTATCACATCATCATTAGTGAACCCTTGGGTTGTTTCTACAGCTGATAACCAGTTGGTTGGAAGCAAACAGGTTAAATACAACTGAAAAAAGGCTTTTTTAGCTGTAAGGTCGTAGGTAGATATCAAATGCATTAGTAACAGTAAAAGTTTATTGTTTATAAAGAATTCAGAGCACTTTCTTAATGTTAATGTTTAATGTTAAAAATGTTAAAAGTGTCAATGTTTATGTTATTTGATGAATGCACCCGTTGTGTTCGCGATTGACAAGTGTATTGGTGTCCCGTATGTTGATGTTAAAACAATACTTGAAAACTGCTTCGCAAGCAGGTGTTCGTGTTTACACCGAACACAGTTGTTCGGACGACCATGTTGTCCTCCTAATGGAATAGGACTCCTATAGCCACAAATATATGAATGAATGTTCTATACCTATGTAGGTACACGGTATTATGGTAACAAACCAGCGTTTCAGCCATTTAATAGGTTAGCTATAAATAGACTAAATTTTTCTTTTACCGGGTTACCGAGAGGTAAGCGTTAAATATGGCACAATTTGCCGACAGAACAATGCGTTTGCCATTGAATTTTCAGTACTTTAGAGAATTTTCTAATTATGAATTCAGAGGATTTTAAACGTTACTCTTCAATATTTGTTTGATGAGAACCATTTATCAGGCGAGCTTATTACACATTCATGAGTAACCATGAATATTTAGAAAATTTCATCAATACTGCCAGTTTGGGTAATCGAACCCAAAACTCGACAAGCTCGACTGTTGCGCTTATGACTCGATCACTAATGTTCGCTTAGCGATAAAAAACTTACCGATAAAATCTTTCACAGATGTATACGGCGCAAGAATTTAATCCTGTTTGGCGTAGAGGAACACGAGAAATCATACCATGAGCTGGAGAAAACCGTAATCAACCTAATAAATATACACTTTAATTTGGAGTACAATAATTTGTGTATCGAAGGAGTTACAAGACTTGGAAAAAAGAGGGATACGATTAGACCTATAAAAATAACTTTCAGCACAATAGGAGTAAAAATAAATATCTGGAAAAAGAAAAAACTCCTGAAAAATACTCCTTACTACTTGAAAGAGGACTACCCTCTAAAAATCCTAAATAAGCGTAAGGAACTGCAAGAACAATTGATTCAAGAAAAACAACAAGGCAACAAGGCCTACCTCAGCTACTATAAACTTATCGTAATCTTTATATATATAATTCTTCTGTGAGTGTGTATGCCACTGAACATCTCTCAAACGACTGGACCGATTTTGATGAAATTTTTTGTGTGTGTTCAAGGGGATTTGGGAATGGTTTAAATTCACAAATCAGCCCGGCAGATGGCGCTGCAGTCGGTTTCTAGGTTATTTATCTATCACCGCGGAAGAGTTTGACCAAAACCCTCCAGAAAATCCTACTTATAACAAACACACTAAAAATAGATTTATTCCAAGTGGCAAAATACAATGTAAGAACTTTATCAACAAGTCACCGACTGATGGAGTTGATGACGACTGATCCTTGAAAGACATAGAATATGACGTAATTGGTCTTTTTGAAATCCGGCGTATAGGCACATCAATTCAAGAGCACAATGATTTTATATTTTGCTATACAGGGGAAACACGAGGATTGTTTGGCGTTGGTTTCACCGTTAAAAAGTATCTCAAAGAAACATCGTCAGTTTCGACGGACTATCAGAGCGAGTAGCTATTCTAAAACTAAATATTAATGATTTTCAACTAGACATACTACAAGTTTATGCACCAACTGAGGCTTCAAGTGAAGAAGATGTAGAATCTTTCTATAGTACTATAAATGAGGCTCTAAAAAGCTCTGGTAGGAACATTGTGGTTATGGGTGACTTTAACTAAAAAATTGGTCACCTTAGGCCAGAAGATTTGAGAAATGGTAGGGGTGATGGATTTCGGATAGGAGAACAAACTGAGTATTATGAGCGCCTTCTTTAAAAAACCCTAAAAATCAAAGATAGACATGTAGATCCCCAGATGGAAACACGAAGAATGAAATTGACTACATATTAACAAATCTAGACAAAAATGTTCTAAATGTACAAGTTTTAAATGTGAACTTCCCCACTGATCACAGACTTTTGAGAGCTTCTTTTATACTACGAAAAGTTAAGTAAACCCGTACAAAATTCACAGTGTCTAAGAAATTCATTAAAAAATTAATCCGAAATATCTGTTTATCTATAATTTACATAAACTATCTCATAAATAGAACAAAGACTTACTGTAATATCGAGAGGACGTCACCTACAGGCCAACTACGATAATATAATTCGAAGCTTGGAAAGTTCTTCACAAAAATACCAAAATGCCGGAAAAGACACGATTAAGCCTAGTGCGATTTCCGCCTTGGTCTACACCAAGGCGGAAATCGCGTAGGAAACTAATGGATAGGAGAAAACAACTACATATTATCAAACCTAAAACAAGATCACAGAAAAATGAACTAAAAGCACTATATAAACTCATAAGTAAGAACATTAAGAGAGACTACATGCTTCACTGATTGAAAACCATCGGAAAAACATATAAAAACTACTGGCAGCATTAAAAAAAACATCGATTGAGCAAATAAAAGAGACTGACAAACTATCACATAACAGGATCGATATTATGAAAACCGCAACAAATTTCTACAAAAAACTATACAATTGTCAAACCTCAACAAACTCCTCAAATATTTACGATGCCACCAACATCCAGTCACAATTACCACAAATACCTGCTAAAAATGGCCCACAGATAAAAACGATCAATGCGATGGAAGTTATAGAAAGACTGAAATTAGATAAATGCCTAGGCCCTGACGAAATTACTGACGAGGCAATAAGAATAGGCTGTAATCATCTGGTACTTCCTCTGACACATCTCTTCAACTCTATATTAGATTCGGGCATCATGCCTTTTCAATGGTCGGAGTCGAACATGATTCTACTCTACAAGAAAGAAGATCACACGAATATAGGCAACTATCGCCCTATCAGTCTGTTGCCCTCACTCTACAAACTCTTCTCATCGATAATCGAAAAGAGGTTTAGTGACAGTCTTAGTCTTAAGGAACACCAACCGATAGAACAAGCTGATATTCTACAATAGATCACATCCATGCGATATAACAAATAATCGAGAAATATACTGAATATCCTTCAAACACCAAGTTCATGAATTTTATTTAAAATCGCTGCAACGCTAGATCTAGGTCTTCGTCGATATATACTTATGTATGTACTTATACCTATATATTTTATGCATATGACTATATATACTATTTACTATTATGTAATATATATGTATAACTATATTATTTAATATTTACCATTATTTTTTCCTCTCTCTCTCTCTCTCTCTCTTTGTTGTTAGTTTATTCTCCGTACCTCAGTTTTCGCAGATTTTCTACTTAAACCCTAAGGTTGACTGGTAGAGAATGCCATATGGCATTAAGTTCGCCTTATGTACCATAAACAAATTATGTACATTAAAGAATAAATAAATAAATAAATATCAGAAACCACTCTACGTGGTATTCGTCGATTACCAGAAAGTCTTTGACATAATCCGACACTCTTCTATATGGACCAGCCTAAGCTCACAAAACGTTGAACAGACATTTAAAAAAGTCATAGAATATTAGTACAACAACTGCACAAGTAAAATTAAACTTGAAACTATAGGTAAACTACGGATACCCATAAAAAGAGGTGTAGGACAAGGCGACCCGCTATCTCCAAAACTTTTTATAACTGTACTAGAGATGGTCTTCAGCAAACTTAACTGGGATAAAACAGGGCTGAACATTAACGGCAAGTTTATCAATCATCTTAGATTTACCGACGATATTATTCAACTATCCGAGATTGCCGAGGAGATGGAATCAATGTTACACTCACTAAAAACTATGAGCTATGAAGTAGGCTTGGAAATGAATCTAAATAAAACAAAAATTATGTCCAACAGCAAAAAACACCCGGTATATCTTGATTATTAGAATACGTAGTTACAATTTATCTTGGCAAACAAATATCCTTCGGAAATCAAAGTAACGAACTAGAAGTTGAAAGATGAATCTTAGGCGCACGGAAAAAAATCTGGAACCCTAAAGAAATATTAAAAGGATCAACGCCTATGAATTTAAAGAAAAATCTGATGGATACATACTCTGCACTCTATCACCTACGGTTTATAATAAATGTTTCATGTGTGTTGATTCATAGGCCCTTTTTAAGAATGTCCTTTCTATGTTTTTATAATAACTATCGTGAGACATAGAAAATCAACTAAAATCGCGGGTTACTCACGTGAATATACCTATATACTGAAAAAACCTCCACCTAGTAGTTTCGAACCACAGAGGGGTTCTTCCTCATTAGCAGCGCGCGCGGTCGCTGCTGCGTAGGCTGCGCGACACCGCAGCATCGCAAAAGAAAGAAGAAAAGAACAAACGTACAGATAAACAGACTATCAAACAGACAAAAATTCTAAAAATCATTGCTTAGGTTCTATTGAGTGTATAAAGTTTTTCTTATTTATTTTCCATGTACAGACACCGACCTTTTACAATTATATTATATGTATATTGAATATGTTGATTTTTAACAATAATTACGAATTCAAGTTACGTAAAACGAAGCGTTATAATATAAAAATGGATTCCTATCAAGTCTCGTGGCACTACACATGTCGGTCTGTTTACGCTTTATAAAGGAAAATAAAAAGTTTTATAATGATCTAACTACTGCAGCCTAAATTTATTTATTGCAAGTCGTATAAGGTATGGGTAGAATTCCCATTATGCTAAGTAATATTCTTTAAAATTGCGAGCTATTACGTTTAATTGTAACATTTATGCGTTATAATAGTTATCATGTCATTGTTACACAACGATTTTTATATGGGTTTTTATTTATTAAACAAAAAAACAGAGTGCATTACCTATTGCAGATTTTTCAATCAACAGATAATTCCTATCGGTAAAATAACATTGACATTCGATAGTTTTTAATAGGGAAGAATTGTCAAATATTTAAAATTATTAAATAATACTGACTTACTCTTGATCCAAGACCCAGTGCAAGGCGTAGGAGGAGAAAACATGGTCGAATTTTCCCTTCATGTCTTCGGGAATATCTCCTGCGATGTCCAGCACTGTGAACGAGGTCTGTTCATTGGAATGGTGGTCATTGGCGAAGTTCACCATTTTCTCACTGATGTCACAGCCGAGGAGCTTGAAGTCAGTAGGGATGTACTTCTTCAGCATGCTGGTGACACTTCCATCTCCACATCCAATGTCCAGAACGTTGCTGATACTGTTATTCCACTTTAGTTTAGGCGAAATGTCATCTAAAAAGTTGATCGCATCCCTCTTCGAGATGAAGTTAATTTGCTCGAATAGAGCGGGGTTATTCATGGTTGATTTTTGAAGATTTTCTGTTAACTGGAAAAGATTTTTCGTATTGTTTTTTTCGAATGCGCGTACGCGTGGTTGAGTGAAGCGCGGTTTCGGCGGAGAGCCGCTACAGAAGCGAGGCAGTTCGCATTTATACGTGTCTCGATCGCGTTTCACCAAAACATCCGCGGATGCAAATGATTAGCTTCTGCCCGCGACTTCAAACGCGAAATCCCGTTTTCACCAGTTCCCGTAGGATTTTCAGGATTTTTTTAAGTCATAAGAACCTTCTCCTTATAATAACAAATACCACAAAAGGATTAGTGAAATCGGTTCTAACATTCACGCGTGACCTGACCGGTAATACTTATTCATACTTATTTATAGTAATCATTTTTATATTTATGTTTAGTTTTTTTATCAGTCATGAGACTATTTAAGTACAGCGTCCACGTCTTGTTGGACTAGTGAGCACGTTTCAGCGATGTCAGTACCGGCTCTCAAGGCGCAGAGGTCATCCGCGAACATGTGCGCTGAGCAATGTGCAACCACTCCCTGATCTCTGCGGAACCCCACATTGGATTATTTTTTTGTCACTGAAGGTGTCGCTTATCTTGACCCGGTAAGAGCGTGAGGTGAGGTAGTCTCTTAACCATTCTTTCAGTGGCTTCTCCACACTATAGTTTTCCATATGTTATCAGTGTGTTGGCTTCTGACGTGTCAAATGCTTTTTTATAGTCGAAAAATATTATTACTACAACAAACTTTTTTTCATTTAAATAATGTGGATTTTGTTGGTAAAATTGGTCAGTAATGTATTAGTACCCTTATGTTTTTGAAATCCGTGTTGTGCTTTGTTTATTATGTTGTTTGTACTTAAATAGTTCTCAAGTCCGCGAAACGTCTTTATATTAGTAATAAAATAAAAGCAGCTGATGATAAGATAAAAGCTACTTGGAAAGTTATACACAACGAGACTGGTAGGAAACGATTAAGAAATTCAGAATTAAGTTTAAATACTGAAAGGGGACAGATTTCATCCAACGTAGATGTAGCCCAGGAGTTTGAACATTTTTTTGCCAACATTCCTATCAAAACAACCAAAGATTTAGAGTCATCAGCAACACTCTCTGTAACTTTGCTTAAGAATCATATACAATCGTGTCAGCACGACTTTAGTTTTCGATATACGAATCCTCTAGAAATAATAAAAGTTTTTAAAGAGATCAAGATCAAATCAACTGAAGATCTATGGGGACTATCGGTAAAAGTTTGCAAATCACTTATTCAAACTATAGCGCCATACTTGGCTGTGATTTTCAATAAAAGTATAGATGACGGTGTTTTCCCTGACCTAATGAAATATAGTAAAGTTGTCCCATTATTTAAAAGTGGTGACACTAAAGAACCAAACAATTATAGGCCAGTATCTGTTTTGCCGGTTCTCAGCAAAGTATTTGAAAAGTTAATGCTGTCTCGGATGCTTCATCATTTTAATAAACATTCTATCTTTCACCAACAACAATACGGTTTTACTAAAGGTCGTTGTACAACTGACGCCGGTGTCACTTTAATGAAAGAAATATTTGGTGCTTGGGAGGAAGCACAAGATGCTATTGGTGTCTTTTGTGACCTCTCAAAAGCGTTCGATTGCGTTGACCACGAGACACTTTTGCTGAAATTAGATCACTACGGGATCAGAAACACCGCACTCTGTCTAATAAAGTCTTATTTAGAAGATAGGCAATTAAAGGTTCATGTTAATGGTATTAACTCGCAGGGCTCTACGATGAATATGGGCGTTCCACAGGGTTCAATATTGGGTCCCTTTCTCTTTTTAGTCTATATAAATGATTTGCCATTTATATTCAAGAATGAACCAAGAATGGTGCTTTTTGCAGATGATACCTCATTAATTTTTAAAATAGATCGACGTGCTAATAATCTTGACGACGTAAACAGCTCCATTCTTCGAGTGCAAAACTGGTTCACCATTAATAATCTAGCGCTTAATGAGAAAAAAACAAAATGTATTAAATTTAGTTTACCAAACGTCCGAAGTAATGATTGTGATGTTGTTTTAAACGGCCAAAAGTTAGAATTTGTCGACGAGACGGTATTTTTAGGCATTACATTAGACAATAGACTACAATGGGGCCCACATATAAAGGCGCTTTCGGGGAGATTAAGCTCAGCTGCTTTTGCAGTTAGACAGATTAGACAGCTCACGGACGTAGATACGGCAAGGCTTGTCTATTTTAGTTACTTTCACAGCATTATGTCGTACGGCATTTTGTTGTGGGGTCGAGCTGCAGAAATAGAATCAATTTTTATTCTTCAAAAGCGGGCTATCCGAGCAATATATAACTTACGCCGTTGCGAATCGCTAAGAGAATTGTTTAAAACGATAAACATCTTAACGGTGCCCTGTCAATACATATATGAAAATATAATGTATGTAAGAAAGAATAGGCAATTGTTCGAAAAAAGAAGCGATAGACACAATCTTAATACTAGAGGCAAGAATAAGTTAGCTGTACTGCAATTCAGACTGTCCAAGGTACAGAAATCCTTTATGGGGTTAGGTATTAAATGCTATAATAAAATACCAAATAGCATACTAGATCTAAATGAAAGTAAATTTAAAACATATATTAAGCGCGAATTATGTAAACAAGCGTACTACAGGGTGATTGATTATCTTGAGGATAGGAATGCTTGGCAGCGTGTTGGTTCGGCTCCACTGGACAATACTCAAATGTAGTCAGTACCTAGTTCAGATTACGATAATAGGTAATTTAACACTTTGATTCCGATGAAGGCAATCTATTTTTCTTGTGGCATCGAGCATTTCTTTCTTTATTTAAACAAGAGTATATTTTTTATTTTTTTCTTGTATAGAAGCACTATTTTATATGGATTGTCAGTATACATATGTGAGGACCATGTCAGACTTAAGATATTTGTTTTCTCTTGGTTTTGTTTTTTTTTTTTCTATTTTAGTATGTTCTGTTATTTGTATGTTGCTTCAGGTATGTCTTTACATTATTCTCACATGTGTGTACAATATTGGAATATGTATCAGAGCAATGTAAAACAGACTTTTTTAAAAGAGTAACGAATGGAGTTTCTTGCTCGTTCTTCTCCACTCGAATCGACATTTTGGAACGAGCGCCTAGCTTCACTGACGGACAGACTGACAGACTATTATATATCTCATATTTGTTGATGTTTCAAAAGTACCAAATTATGGTTTAATTGAAATAAATGCTTTTGAGTTTGAGTTTGAGTTTGAAGTTGATTTATTATACACTTTTCCATTACTTTGTCAATACTGGATAAAATCGCTATCGGTCTATAGTTAGAGAATTTCTTATGGTCTCCTTTTTTATATATAGGACGAATGACTGCTTCTTTAAGTTTATCGGGGAATTTATGTTTTTCAACGGATAGATTTATTAATTTCGCTATAACGGGACTTATTTTGCCAGCTATCATTATTAAATTCGACATACGAATGAGATCGCTTCCAGCCAATTTATTAGCGTTCATTTTTTTATTTTATTATTTTATTTACATAATTGTCGCTTACTGGTTGTCATCTCATACTTACACCAGGTTTTAGCACGTAATTGCATCTCTTTAAAAACTTAATGTCAAAGCTGTGTTTAATCTGTTGAATTTCCTCATTAAATGCTGTCGCAAACCCATCAGCTATAACTTTCGTGTCATCCTGCTTGCTCATATTAGTTACAGTGTGGCGCGTTCAACGTAAACTTGGTCCATCGTTGGCATATCTACTCGCGCCCCGCTTTGCTTATTATTGTATAGATTTTTGCTTTGGTTTTTGATTTATAATTTTTATTCAATATATTAAATTTAATTCATTTTGCTGTAAATAATATCATTCACTTCATCGCTTTGACTACGCACCCTGTGCTCGCTATTACCTATAGCATTAAATTGCTTAACCATGCGGGTTAAATTTCCGTGTGGTTACCTTCAAGATTACTGAGGCGACGAGAGCTGATATCGTCCCTGATGTACACGCATACCCTGGCCCTAGTCAGGAAGGAATGTTCCAGTCCATACCCAGGGTAGGTTAGGTACGATGTGTCCAATGGAAACGATATCTGGGTCTCATTCAAAAAGAGCAAGGCTGGCTTTGCTGTCTCTAGGTGGTGATGGACAGCATTGCGGTTGGTTTTTTTCTTGTATTTTAATTACACTAAATTCACTTTAAAATCGTTTATTTGTCACAGGGACACAAGCACAAATACCTAAATCATACAAGAGCCTGTCAACACTTAATTAAACATCAAAGTTTTCTTTTTGTCAACAGCTATGATTTGAGATTCGAGATGGTTTTGTAAAATAAGTCTATTTCATTATCATGTTCAAAGAGAAACTATTCTGAATCTGATGTATGGATTTCTTTCTTGTACGGATATGTGTCTTTGAGCCAAGTTTCTTTAATATATTTGAACATATTAACCACAATCTGCTTCTCAGAAGACGAAAGAGGGGGACCTCTTAGAGGTCCCCCTCTTTTAGAGCGTTTTTTCTTTGGTGATGGAAATGTGCGAAGCTTGCCTGGCTAGTACCAGGCTGAGGTTCACTCATTTTATGATAAAATACGAATATAAAAACAATTAACGTAGAAACCAACACTTAAATAACTAAATAACAAAAACAAAACAAAGAAACAAGATAAATTCAACAAAATGGGAACGCGAGCGCAAACGACGAGAAAACTGTCAATGGCGTCTTATTAACCGACTAAATGCCACACACGTTACTTTCGTTGTCGCGCTACATCTTAGTAGTAATCTTTAATTTGATAACCTTATCTAATGCTTCCTTCTTATAGAAAGGTTTTGGATATTTTTTTATGGTGTCTGTTGTAATACAATATTATATTATTTTATATAATATTTACGAAGAAATAAGTGAAAAGGAACAGAAAGATAACATTTAATAGAGAAAACTGCCTTAAAAATGGAAACAATTTTAATTTACATACGAAGTGTTTTGAATCATGGAAATTTCAACTATAAACAACTCTTTTTATGATTTGTAATAGATATTAATAAATAGTTACTTAA